GGGGAGCAGACCGAGAGGGAGTCGAGTATGAGGCGGGGGGGGCGGGCGGGCGGGCGGGGAGCGGGCGATGAGTGGGTGGTGAGCGGCAGTGAGAGGGCAGTGAGACGAGCAGCGAGCGGCTGAGCGGGCCAGTGAGCGGGCGGAGCAAGTGAGACGGGCAGTGAGCGGGCAGTGAGCGATAGTGAGCGAGTCAGTGAGTCGGCAGTGAGCGGGCAGGTGAGCGGTCGGGTGAGGATGCGGGTCAGTGAGCGGTCAGTGAGACGGTCAAGTGAGCGGGCAGTGAGCGGGCAGTGAGCGGGCAGTGAGCGGGCAGTGAGCGGGCAGTGAGCGGGCAGTGAGGCGATGTCTGAGCAATAACCGTTGATGGCAGAGTGCGACCGTGGACGGGGGGACGGGGAGAGGGCTGGGACGGCGGTAAAGACCCTCCCTTACTGCCGATGATTAGAATGTCAGAGGCCGAAGAGTATGCAAGAGGCCGGCGGTGGATGGCAGAAGACGTCGGTGGACGGTGGTGAAAAACGATGGATGTTGGAGGTGGAGGACAGCGATGGATGGCGGTGGATTGTGGAGGACGGCGGAGGATAGCTGGGGACGGCTATGAAAGGCAGTGGGCTGTGGCTGTCGGTTGTGGATGACGTCGTAAGCGGCGGTGGGCGGCGTTGGAGGAGGTGGCTGCTGAGCCAGTGATGACAGAAGCGATGGCGGCGGCAGAGAAGGGAGCGGCGAGCGGGCGACCCGGGTTCGTGTCCAAGTGAAAGCAGGAAGCGAGTGGAGTGAGGACTCTCGCCGGCGCTGCCACGGGCGCGTCGTGGCGTGGCCGCTGTCGACACCGCGCCGCGCGTGGCCAGGCATTCCGCTCGGGAAGGAACTACTGTTGTGCGAGAAAATTCCGCAACGCAATGACGGATGCCGCTTTTCAGATGAGCTGCATTTTAACTCTTTCAAATACGAAAGTTTTCGAAATTTATGAGCACGTGCGGTACTACGTCCAAAGTTTCTCCTTCTCCACCCCATCAAAAAAACTGTTTTTGTAATCGTAAGACATTTTAGGTTGTTCTGAGCGTCCTAGTATAATTTATAATGTGTCTTTAAATCTAATTGATGCTGTGAGAGTGGACTTTCTCTGAATTTCAGGATCCCTACTCTTTGAATAACCGTTGTCCCACTGAACTCTAGAATATGTTCACAGATAGGAAGCTACATTTATGGCCAGAAGTACAACAAAGAGCCATCTCAGCATTCGTTCAAAACATCAGGAAACCTGATCGAGTGAGCCATTCGTGAATATGTCATCATCTTTGTATTTCTCATTAGAATAATTGATGTTACTCATTTATGATCTCAGATATACATCATCAGTGAGACAATCATACTATAACTCAGCCATCTTTATTATCCCCTACACTTAAAAATCTTTAGGATATTATCCAGTTTATAGGGACTGCAAGAAAGCCTGATCATAAGCAAGTAAGAGAAAATTATTTTTGCTTTACTCGTTATCATGAGGAATCTTTATTGCTCCCGCGTTTAACCTGTGCATTAAAACAATCGACAGCAACAGATTTAGCAACAGATTTTGTTTCTCAATAATGTGCATGATACTAGTAAATGGGTTAGTTTCTTAATGAATTAGTTTATTTATGAAAACATAAGTGTACTAATAATCCACGGCCTTTCATTAAATACTCTCAACATCTTTCGGGTACCTTACACAAGAAGAAGAGCCAACGTTAAGCGAAAATGTTTGGATTTTTTGGGGAGAGGGGGGGTACCGGCATTGAAAGTTTTACAAAGTGGATAAAAATTTGAATGATATTCATACCATAACATCTTAATACAACACTCGATTGGCTAACAAACTCGGCATGGGGCAGCCTGGATATCCGATGTCGCGAGATCGAATCCCACTCGGGACATGGATGTATGTGTGTCCTCATACAGTACGCGAGTTCATCTACCGTTACCCCAAAAGTATAAAAACCAAAGGTAATTACAGTGGTCACTGCACGACCTAGTAACTGAAAAGGCGATGTAGTAGTTGAAATGCCATGCGGTCTCCGAAACTACCTTCAACAAAAAGGTTTGACGGCTCGCGATCATCCCTTTCCTATCATGTTCCCACACTTCACAATATGTTCAACAATATTTACAACCAAACTTAGTTTGAAAGACCCGCTTGCTCGCACATGACTATACCTTCTGAACGAAAGGCTGATTGTTCATGCTTCCCATATCCACTCATACGCGCGCACTCAGGCGCGTGCATTTCCGACGGTCGGAAAACCCCACAGTTGCCATGATTATGGATGTAAAAGAACCTGTGCAGATGCCCGGCAACAAGAAAGTTCTCCAGCAATTTTCTGCCGAAAAGGATCTCGCGTTCTACCAACCAGAGAGTTTGGATGCAGCGAACTTACACCGACATTTAGCAGAGAAAAAGAGAATCATACCCAAGCGTAAGCACAAGGAGCGCGCCTGCTCCATTGATTGATTTATGAGCGATTTCAAGGGCGCCAACTGCTAGGGTCGCTTGTCCGTAAGAGTAATGCATGACTCCCTCGTGAGGAAGTGGTGATCTTCCCCCGCTCGATAGTCAGATCCGGCGCCAACATACCCGTCGGCAGTGGGGTTTTCGCCAACCAGGTATCTCCCGCCAGCGGGGCACTGCCCCAGCTGAGCCCACCTCTAAGCTCCCGACTGGTCTTCCGAGAGAGTGCATTTATGTTTAAGTGTGTGTGTGTGTGAGTGTGTAAAAGAGAATATAGGACAAGGAAGAGAAAGTTTAAGGAATCGCGCGCGGTCAATGGCCCCTTTGTTCGGGTTATTTGCTCCGGTTAGCTGTAGCAAAGCTCGAAAACACTCCACCGACGGAACTCGAACCCTAGGACCTACCGATCAGAGTTAGAGTTATTGAATTGAATTGAGTCAGAATTATCTGGTGGAAGGTGGACGATTGTGGCGGAGGTGTCCTTGGCGGCGGGGATATCAATGGCGGCAGATGGTGCTATTTAACCCTAGCTTCACAGCTGGCGTCCACCGCAAAAGCCTAGGCCCGCGTGGCAACAGCGGTTGCCCTGAGCTAACTCAGGCGGTCGGCTGCGCCTTGTCCTCCTCGCGCGGCTCGGCGCCTCGCGCCGGCGCAGCAGTGGAGTCTGGCGAGGTATGCGG